AATTTGTACATTTTTCGTACAAAGATATTTTAGAAAGTCTAGCATTAATTATTTCTTTTGTAATGATGTAATATTTGAAATGAGAGGATTTTTCCTTCTTCTTCTCTCTAATTTCTCTTATATTGCATCGAATTTTTGATAAAATTTACTTGAGCTGATAGGTTCTTTGATATCTTCTTAATAACTTTGGAATTTTAATGTACTATATGAAAAGATCCATTGTAATAGCGTAAAACATAGATATAGCTGTTTTTGATAAGCAGCAGAATGATTTCGGTGTCACTAGCTTCACATTTCGATATTGAATATTTGGCGACACTGTAATGGGTTTCAAAAATTATGTTTCTGGCGCTTGCACTACTTGACCAACGTCGATTGTTTTGCTTAATGTAGTTCTCCAACTTACCGTTGTTCAAACATAGAGTGCGCTAAAAAATCAGTGATTTTTTTTTTACCATGTCGGTATTTTAGTTCACCTGCCACAAAATCCCATAAGATGGTGATGATTTAGTCTATTTATGTATCTCGTTTGTGATTTTACCAATGAGACATTTAAGCTATGATATTTTAACTGAATTTTTAATTCATTTTTGCGATATAATTCAAATTGTTTTTGAATTATGAGAATAATTTAATATGATGATATATTACATTTTTAACAATAATATCGATAATCGTTTTTAAAAATGACAAAATCGATTTCGGTGGTAGTTGTTCAAATTGCACCTCGATTGTTGTTGCAAACGTCGTCCTTGTACGAGTGTTTATTAAATTTTTCACTTGTTCTGTTTAAACTTTGAATCGTATTGTGTAGAAAAATATGTAAAATAAATAGGAGGTACACAGGATAGGGGGATAAGTAAAGTAAATGTGCAGAATAGGGTTGTGAATAACACAAAGGTTCGATTTAAGGATTTTACTCATCCTCTCCTTTATTACAAAACTGAGAAAAAAGAAAACTTTGCGAGAGTAACAAACTTTTGGCTTATGTGACTAGTTATAATACTCAGCGGCAATACTAAAATTAGTGCAATGTAAGTATATGTACATTTGTGTGATTAGATGTGGCGGGTCCGGTGAGGGCCTTAACACGAGATATCGAAGAAATCGAACTTGAAACAAAAGTATGCGGATAAGTTAGCGAATAGCGCGTTTTACAACGGACCTATGAAATTTCATGGTCTTGTGATGCATTTTCAAGAATATTATTATATTCTCATTCTCATACACTTCACTCCCGTCTTGAAACAACATTCGTATACAGAGTTTCGTTTCTTGAATAAAAGCAACAATCACTTTTCGAATACAGCAACAAACGACATTAATATTTCATTTTCCGAGCTACGCGTGAAGAAGAACAAAGAAAAAAAAAAAGGCTTTTTGTCGCGAGTAACGCAGTGTTGCAACTGATCGCATCGTAATTGCTTCAGAACAACTTTATCTTCGATGTCTCTGGTTTTCTTTGCACCAACCGCCAATCGTTCTTTTTTTTTTCCGGATAGAACTTTTCTTTTTTATACAATCGTTAAAACTCGTATCTTACATAGTGTAAAAATTTCTTGTTCTTTCTACACGTGCGCGTGCATCATCGTCTTCGCCGTAAGAAAGTTAACAACGAAGTTTCACCAATTTTCTTTCTCTTCGCATACGTGAAGTATACTCGCGCGTTACTTTTTCACGTCATTCAGTCATTCAGGCTCGCTTCTTTCATTCATCCCGATACTCACACGTTCGCCTCTTTCTCTTCTTTCGCCAGGATAAAACGATAACTTAACTTATTTCGGGTTACAGGGCTACGGTTTTACATCGTTATCGAACATTGCTCGCCCAGAATTACTCATTACTCCTTTTTTTTGGAGTATCTTTTGAATTTAGAATATTCGCCATTGAAATTATTTTTGCATCGAGAACGTGACCATTCTAATCTGATTTTTATCAACGAAATATCGCATTTAGCTCAATAATCGAGAAAGTTTCTAAAAAAAAAAAAAAAAGAAAGAGGAAAAGAGCTTGTGGGTCTATAATAGACACACATCCCTGCTCAAAAGACAAATGCGAAACTGGTTTCAAAATTGATAAACGAAATAATACTTTCAATCAAGGAAACTCTCAAAGTGGCAATGTATATTTTAATATTATGGGTATACTGTTAATACATTAACGATCTTATTGTAAAACATACGTAAAATTTAAGAATTAAAAATGAATACTGAATATTGAAAGTAAAAGTAATCTCGAGATTTTTGAAAAGAAGTGTACGAGCGTCGTACTTTACGATTATGAAACAAACCATCCTAGAAACTTGTTTCTCATGGACTCTTTTTCATGAAGCTTCTCAGTTGCTAGACACAATTAATACATTTTTGGCATTATATTATTATTATTGTAACAATCGACTGCTCTGGCATTTATTGAAACATGTAAGAAGCTATTACTATAAACGTATTTTTTTTTTCTTTTTTTTCAAATTTAAAACTTTGCATTGAATTATGAATCATCGACACATTGGTATTCATTTCCACTACGTACTACATATTCTTATATATTCTAAAATTTCAATACTACCTCAAAGTTGTACTATTTTGGTCATTTTCGACTAAACCTGTATGTTAAGAAATACTTCAAGTTTGAACGAAATGTGGAAAATTCTTATTGCTACGTACGATTCGTTTCATTTCAATTTCCCTTGAAACATTACAGATCCTTCGTGTTCACTAAAACGAGAACAAGACTGTTATATTGACTGAGAGCTCGGAGATTAATCAGTGAATGTCATTCCCCGTTGAAAATTATCAGACAAATATATTTTTGTTGTGTACATGGAACAGCCTATTTACATTAGTCGTATCAGTTATATTATAATGATCGTTACGGTTTAAATT